AGAGAGAGAGAGAGAGAAGAGAGAGGGAGAGAGAGAGAAGAGAAGCGAAGAGAAGAGAAGAGAGAGATAGAGAGAGAGAGAGAGCGAGAGACGAGAGAGAGAGAGAGAGCAGAGAGAGAGAGAGAGAGAGCGGGAGAGAGCGAGGGAGAGCGAGAGAGAGCGAGAGAGAGCGAGTGAGAGCGAGAGAGAGAGAGAGAGAGAGAGAGAGAGAGAGAGAGAGAAAGAGAGCGAGAGAGGGCGACAGAGAGCGAGAGAGAGCAAGAGAGAGCGAGAGAGCGAAAGAGAGAGAGAGAGAGAGAAAGAGAGAAGAGAGAGAGAGAGAGAGAGAGAGAGAGAGAGAAAGGGAGAGAGAGAGAGATAGAGAGAGAAAAGAGAAGAGAAGAGAGAGAAGAGAGAGAGCGAGAGAGAGAGAGAGAGGGAGAGTGAGAGAGAGAGGAGAGAGCAGAGAGAGAATAGAGAGAAGAGAGAGAGGAGAGAGAGAGAGAGAGAGAGAGGCAGAGATAGAGGCAGAGAGAGAGAGGCACAGAGAGAGAGGCAGAGAGAGAGAGAGGCAGAGAGAGAGAGGCAGAGAGAGAGGCAGAGAGAGAGAGAGAGGCAGGGAAAGAGAGGCAGAGACAGAGAGAGGGCAGAGAGAGAGAGAGAGAGAGACAGAGAGAGCAGAGAGAGAGAGAGAGAGGCAGCTCAGTCACACTTAAATCCAGATTCGTCCTCACCGAGTCCCACCACCAAGGGAGCGCCAGCAAGGAGATGCACATATGGGGATCCCCGCGCAGTGAATAATTTATAAAAATATATGCATCCACATCTCTGTATCTTTCCCTAGTGTCCACGTGTATATGACATATATGTGTGTGTCTATGGAAATGTACTATATATGTATAAATGTGTGTATGCAAGCTTATTTATATGTACGAAAATGCACGCACTTGTATGTTATGCTTGCGTATGCACACATTATGTCACACACCTCTACAGTATATACAAAACAAATTCAAATTGTACGATTGTATACACCCACCGTCAAATATTACCAAATCCAGCACCTTACGGACCCCCCCCCCTTCCCCCCCCTTTCAAAAGGGGGTGAAGGGGCCCCCCGCCCCCCCCCCTCTTTCGCGCGCCCCCCCCCCCCCCCCCCCCCCCTGACTCCGGAACCCGACCCCCGCCACCCGCGCCCCTAGTCCTCACCCTAACCCAAAAAACCTCAATCCTAACCCCAACCACTAACCCCAGCCACAAAGAGTATTCACTACTCATCACTCACTACCCACTACTGACTACTCGCTATCCGCTACTCACTTCTCAGTACCCCCTACTCACTACTCACGACTCACTACTCACTATCCACGACTCACTACCCACCACCCACTACTCGCTACTCACTACTCCCTACTCCCTCCTCCCTCCTCCCTACCCACTACTCACTACTCACTCCTCACTACCCACTACTCAATACTCACTACTCACTAAGCACTACTCACTACTCACTACTCACTGAGCACTATTCATTACACACTACTCACTATTAACTACTCATTGACCACAACTCACTAATCACTACCCACTACTCGCTACTCGCTACTCCCTACACAATACTGACTACACAGTACTCAGTACCCAAAAATCACTACTCCCACACTCGCTACTCAATACTCACTACTCACTCCCCGCTACTCACTATTCACTACTCACTACTTACTACTCCCTACTCACTAGTCACTACATAGTCTCTAGTCACTAGTCACAACTCACTAGTCACTAGTCACTACTCACTACCCACTACTCACCAATCGCTACTCACTACCAACTATTCGCTACCCACTTCTTACTACTCACTGCTCAGTACTCCCTACTCCCTATTCCCTACTCACTACTCACTACCCACTACTCACTAATCGCTACTCGCTACTCGTTACTCACTCATCACTACCCACTACTCACTACTGACTACTGTCTACTTACTACTCACTACTCAGTACGCCCTACTCGCTCCTCGCTACTCACTACTCGCTACTCTCTACTTGCTACTCACTACTCACTACCCACTGCCACTACCCACTACTCTCTATTCATCACTACTCACTACTCACTACTCACTACGCACTACGTACTACTCAGCACTCGCTACCCACCACGCACTATTCACTACTCACTACTCGCTACTCACTACTCACTACTCACTACTCACTACTCACTACTCATTACGCACTACGCACTACCCACTACTCACTACTCACTAATCACTACTAGCTACCCACTACTCACTACCCACTACTCCCTAACCACTACTCATTACTCTCACTCCCTACTCAGTATTCACTACTCGCTACTCGCTACTCATTATTCACTGCTCACTACTCGCCACCCAGTACTCACTTATCAGTACACACTACTCACTGTTCACTACTTACTACCCCCCACTCCCTACTCTCTAGTCACTACTCGCCACTCACTACCCGCTACTCACTACCCAATACTCAGTACTCACTACGCGCTAATTCACTACTCACTCCTCACCACTCCCTACTCCCAACTCCGCACTCGCTACACGAGGGGGGGGGGGGGGACCCCCCCCCACCCCTTGAAAGGGGGAAGGGAGGGGGGGTCTGGACCCCCCCCCCACTGGCTTACTTTTTAAATGTACAGCACAGATCTACTTGCAAAAGGCAGACCGATATCGCAAAGCTTGCACAAGGCGGCGATGATGATGCTGTCGGAAATGATGCCAACGACGAATGCCTTTCCTGGGTCGCTCAGACGCCAATTTGACCTTCGGGGGCCGAGAGGCAGACTCCCCATGGCCCATCGCGGCACAGAAGAAACAACGCGGATAACAACACTGCCACAAAGGGATTGCACCGAAACAGGCGGCTCACGAAACGTCACCGATTACTGTTCAGCACCCATGACGTCGCCGTCCCCGAGCACCCCGTTATCATCATTTTCGTCTGAGGTTCCGTTGAAGAACCGCTGGAACATAACCGAGATGGCCCTATTGCCCCGCGATTTCAGCTGCAAGCCGAGGCGCATCATGAAGGCTTTGCGTCGTTGCTCCACACGTTATCCTCGACCTGCACAATCCGATCGCCAGGTTCAATCTCCTTCAGCGGGTTCTCCTTGTTCCACTTGGCGACCCTGCCATAACTGCATGATCTCGCCGACGGAGACCGGGGCGCCATCCGCGGCGTTCAACCCCCAGCCCATGGTCTCGCTCGGCGCGATGGTGACGCCCAGCTCGGCGGTGAACCCCACGTAATCTGCATTGTCCTCGCTCGACCCGGCGTCTGGGTCGACCCCCGCGTCGCCTCTGGACCCGCGGTCGTGACTCGCGCGAGCTGCTCTTCTGGGCGGACTCGGCGAACTGCTCAGCCCATGGTCTCGCTCGGCGTGACGAGGGCGTCCAGCTCGGCGGTGAGCCCCGCGCGATCTGCATTGTTCTCGCTCGACCCGGCGCCTGGGTCGACCCCCGCGGGCCTCTGGACCCACAGTCGTGCCTCGCGCGAGCTGCTCTTCTAGGCGGACTCGGCGAACTGCTGGTCAAGGAGCTTCTCGAACGCGTGCGAGTCGTTCCTCCGCATCGCGTGGTTGGCCTTGAAGATCTGGTCCCCGGGGACGAGGGCATCGTCAGGGTTATCCACGATGAACATGTGAACCGCCCCCAGCTTCTCGATCTTCGCGACCGTGACAGGAAGCCAATCGTCGGTTCGTCGGTTGCGTTCAGCTCCAGCCCCAGCCTGTGGCCGACGCTCACGGGGATCGTCGCCAGCCAGCCCCTGGCGTACGAAACATTGGCGGTCTGTCGGCCGCCCTGCTCTCCGGCTTCCTTCACGAACACCCTGTCTTCTAGATTCTCGACCACCGATCTGGGCCTCTGGACGTGCAGCAACAGGACCTCGTCCGAGGGCGAGCTCCTCTGCGCCATGTGGCTGAACTGGCTCTCGATGCGGCCCCCGAAGACTTTGGAAATGTGGTGCCATACGACGCGGCTTGCGCGGATGATCTCGTCGCCCGGGTAGATCCTGAATCCGGGGTGCTCCTGATTCCATAGGGCCACCAGGCCCGTGCTGTCCAGCTTGTGGACGGACGCAGGCACCCAGTCGACAGCAGCGTTCAGCTCCAAGCCCACCGAGCGGTTTCGCATCACAGGAATGTTAGCGACGAGCTCATTCGAGTACTGCTGCCGATGCAAGTCCTGCCTCTGCGACTCGAAGCGGGTATTTTTCTGCTGCCTCGGGCGCTGGATGGACAGGGAGAGCGTCTTCTTCGCGCCATCCCTGTACCCCTTGGCGGCCAGGAACTGACCACTGATGCGCTTTGCAAAAGTGCGAGAGTTGTGATTCCAAATGATGTCGTTGACCTTCACGATCTGGTCACCCACGTGCACCGCCCTGTCTGGGTTGGCCTGTTCCAAGTCTCCAACAGGCCGCTCTTCTGGATCTGAAGGACCGAGAGAGGGGTGAAGTCCGTGTCCGTGTCCACCCGCGCGCCCAAGGATTTGCCGCTCACGTGGGCCTCCGTCATGTTCAGATCCACCGTGAACTCCCTCTCGTACGCCAGATCGTGGAGCCTCTTCCGCTCCGCCTCCGCCAGCCTCGCGATGGAGAGGGAGCCGCCGTAGGCGAGGTCCACCCCAGCTCCAGGCACTCGGCGGGCAGCGCCACGAGCGCCGCCAAGGCGAGGGGCCCAAGCCGGGCAGCCATTGAGTGCTCTGCTGTATCGGGTCGAGGAGGCCTCAGCTCGCTGGCAGTAGTGGCGAGTGAAAGCAAGCTTGGGCCGAAGCGGCCTTGAGCCAAAATCGCTACGGATAGCCCCAAAGGCCCCCAAGACCGCCCCAAGAAGGCCCGAGAGGCCCCCAAGAGGGCCCCTAGGTGGTCCAAGGAGGCCCCGAAACGGCCCCACAGGCACCCAAGAGAGCCCCAAGAGGGCCCCAAAACGGCCCCAAGAGGGGGAGCACGAACCACCAATTCGAGCCTTCCGCCCCGAGGCCCCAAGGAGGCCCCAAGAGGCCCCCAAGCGAGGCCAGGAGGCCCCCTGGAGGCCCCCAAGAGGCCCAAAAAGCGGCTCCAAAATGCCGCCAAACGGCCCCCAAGAGGCCCCAAGAGGCCCTGAACGCGCAGGCAAGCGCCTGCGATGGCGCAGTACGGGCCAGTGGAACGAGCGAAGCGATTCAATACGAAAAGGCGCCATGGAATCTGGAGAGACATCATGGCCTCCGCCATGATATTCTCCGCCCCTCAACATCACCCGAGGGGCCCCTTGGGAGCCCTGGGAGCACTCGGGGAGCCCTGGGAGCACCCGGGGGGCTCCTGGGAGCTCCGGGAAGCTTCTGGAAGCTCCCGGGGAGCCCCTGGAGCACCTGGGAAGCTCTGGGAGCTCCGGGGCGCTCCTGGGAAGCCCTGAGAGCCGCCTCTTTGCCGCCCGCGAAGGAGGACGACGGCGAGAACTTCGACCGCCGCCCGCCGCCGCCGCCGGGGCGGCGGCCCGCCTGCAGCTCCGCCGCGGCCACGGCCTCACCGCGGGGCGATAGGCGGGCGCGGCCGGGGGCCTGGGCCTGAAGGCGCGGGGTGGGGTCGCCGCCGCAGCAGCGGCGGTCGTCCTCGTCGTCGTCGTCGTATAATCCTCCTCCTCCTCCACCTCCTCCTCGTCCTCGTCCTCGTCCTCGTCCTCGTCCTCCTCCGCCTCCTCCTCCTCCTCCTCCTCCTCCTCCTCCTCTTCCTCCTCCTCCTCCTCCTCCCCCTCCTCCTTGAAGCTCGAAGCTGACCGCTGGTCTGCCACAGGTGACTGGAGCGGGTGGCTGTCCTGAACGGGCCTTCCCAGTGCCAGCTTTCGGCAAGGAGCTCTTCACGCAGACTCTCGACATAAGACAACGGAACTACAAGAACGCCGACAGGCCGAACATGTATATCACGCGTGACAGGATGGTCGCGGCGATCCCGAGCCGCCCGCGAAAATCTTATGGTATGGCTTGTGATTCCTCTTCTCCCGCTGTCAGAGTCCATGTATGGTTCCATATCCCGTATCTCAGCCTATCACTACTGCACCTTTTTTCGAGTGTTCCCAGAAGTGCCACTGGCCCAAGGTGCCCCCAGGATTTCTCAGGAGGCCCCCGCGGCCTCCAGAGTACACCTCACGAGGCCCAGGGGGTCCCAGGGCTCTGAGATGGAACGAAAGGCTGGGGGCACCTTGGGCCACGGGCACCTGCAACACTGGATATTCCCTCCCGACCAGACGAGCGCCCCCCACCCGACTTCGGTGGCAACTCGTGGGAGCCTCCCATGCCATCCTGCTGGCTTTTCCAAATCGTCGCTGCTCGACGCAAGTTGACGCCAACCGACACTAATCGACGCAAAATCGAAGCGAATCGAGACTACTGCGGCGTTCTCTCGTCGACTACCAGACGCTTGTCGACGCGAATGTCCTCGAAAGACGGAATCACGAGGGTATAAAAAAGCTTCCACACATTTCTAACTACCGAGCCACGGGCACCCATCTGGCAACCCCGGATACTTCCCTCACGAACAGACGCTCGTTCCCCCCCGACGAGACGACCATAAGACACGGAGGAGGAGGAGGAAGAGGAGGATGAAGGGGACGAGGAGGAGAAGAAGGGTGCGGAGGAGGAGGAGGAGGAGGAGGAGGAGGAGGAGTCTCCCCGCCCCAGGGGGCGAGCCTGCCAACTCCATCTCGGAGGCCGCCAAGGCGCCGGGTTCGGCCCCACCGCGGCGCTCTCTCTCGAGCCGCGGCGCGCGAGGCCGCGCTGCGCGCCAGGGCTGTCGGGACGATCAGGTTCGAGGTTCGAAGTTCGAGGTTCGAGTGGGCTCGAAGGTGGGGACGATCGGGCTCGAGATTCGAAGTTTAAGTTTGCTGGACGCTGTCGTCGGTTCCCGGCGGCTCTTCAAGCCTCGGGATGCGTTCCAGCGGCTGGAGAGCGTTCCGGGGGTGCCCGGATCGCCCCGATCAGCCGCTGGAGAGCTGAGCCGTGACCCGAAAACCACGGGGGCCTGCAGCGCCGGTGAATCGGCGATGGGCCCCCACTGGCGGATCCGCAAGTTCCTGGGCGGGATGAGCTAGCGGGCCCCTATCAGGCGGCGCGCACAAGGGGGCAGGGGGAGGAGGGAAGGCTTCTTAGAAGGCGGCTGCTTCGTAGAAGGCACCGGCCCTACATCTACAGACAAGGCCCGCGCCTTCTGAGTGCTTCTGGTGAAATTGTCCAGATCTCGCGGATGCCACGCTGCGAAATCACGACGTCGGGAGTCTGGGGAGGTCTCTGGAGGCACCGTGCGGGCGAGCCTTCGCGCGGTTTGCCGGAAGGTTTTCGAGACCATGTTCTTGCTACTGCTGCTCGTCCTCTTCCCTGCTCACGAACATCGAGCTTGCTAAAAAAATGGGGCCACAGGTTTACCATGGCTGCAAAATGCGGTCTTCAAGAGAGAGCATATGGATTACAACCTGGGTCCCTTGGCTTCTCTGAGCATGCCAGTGCTCTGCACCTGCGGTGTCCGTACATGCGGCCTGCTGACGTGGAACGCGTGCGAGTCGCTGCCACCCACCACCCGACCTCCGTGTCGGCTTTGGGCCGATCCGCTCCCCGTCTATAGGTCCATCAGAGGAAACACTACACGGCGAAGGGGAAACAGTCTGGCGGGATGGCACTCGAGCGGGGTATGGGGCTTTGAAATTCGGAATCCGATTTCGCTACAAAGACCACAGTGCCGAGAGGATGATGAATCGGATTCTCGCCATCGACTGCGAATCTGTGCACAAATTCTGCCCACTATATACGGACATGTATTGCGTCGTCGCATTACTGATATGCGGCTCTGGCAGGAAGAGCTACAACAATGTCATGACGATGGCCATGTGTACGTTGGCGCACCGTTGTCAGTCTCGCCCGTCGTACGCCTATTCATGACTCGACCCCGAAAGGATGTGTTGCTCTCGAGTTCCAGGGTGTCGTGGCCGACGGGGATACCAATGTGGGCCATCTGGCCTGCAAGAGCTAAATCATCATTTTTTTTGTTGAGGGAGAAGATGGGAGCAGACACCGAAACTGCACACCACGCGGCTGGGGCGTTCAAATCCTGCCCCCCAAGACAGGCAGCGGCCAAGATGTGGTGTTCGGCTATACTATTGCATGGTTTCGCCATTGCAAGACCACTTCGCCTCTGGGGGCTAAAGTACTCACGTGGCCCCGGGGGCTGAAGTACCCGCGAGGCCCCGGGGTTAAAGTACTCACAGGGGGCGGGTGGGCAGGGGCGGAGGCGGGGCGGCGGAGGGCGAGGGAGGAAGAGGAGGGGGGAGAGGCGGGCGAACCAGCCGAGACACCAGGAACAACGCTCAGGCCAACCTGCAGCCAGCTCCGACGCCAGCACCACCGCCGACACCTACGCCAGCGCAGACGCCAGCACCGACACCAGCACCCATGCTTGTGCCTATGCCTTCGCCGACGCCAACGCCTACACCAGCACCGACGCCAGCTCCGACGCCAGCACCAACGCCGACGCCTAACCCGACACCAATGCCAGCGCCTACACCTGCATTCGACCCGCCGTCGAATAAACCCTGCTTCAGGCTGCCTGCAAGCGTCGGCGCCTGCGCCAGCTCCAACGGCTGCGCCTACATCAGTACCGACGTCAGCACCGACGCCAGCTCGAACGCCGGCACATACGCTAGGGCCGACGCCAGCACCCGACGCCAGCACTGCACCAACGCCTGCGCCTACGCCAGCATCACCGCCGGCGCCTGCGCCGAGACCAGCGCTAGCGCCTACACCAGCACCGACGCCAGTACAGACGCATGCACGAACGGCAGCGCCTGCACCGTCTCCAGCACCAGCGCCTACACCAGCACTGGCGCCAGCACCGACGCCAGCACCAAAGACGACGCCATCATTAACGCCTGCGCCCACGCCGGCACCAACGCCAGCACCTACACGGCCGACGTCAGCGACGACGCCAGCACAAACGACGGCGTCTCCACCGGTACCAAAGCCCAGCACCTCCACGAGCACCGACACCAGCACCGACGCCAGCACCAATGCCTGGGCCTCCGCCGGAACCCACGCCAGCTCCGACGTCCGCATCAATGCGTGCGCTTGCGCCAGCACCAACGCCTACGCCCACGCTGGCATCAGCACCGACGCCGGCGCCTACGCCTACGGCGGGTCTCAAGAGCACCACGCCGGATAACGACCGCAGCACGACAGGTACCACGAGCAGCACGGCGGAGCACGCAAGCAGTACGACGAGTACTCCTAGGCAGCACGCCGAAACTCATGAGCAAGACAACGCTTTCAATGAGCAGCACATCGGATACCACGAGCATGGCACGACGAGCATCACGCGCAGCACAACGACTACCACGAGCAGCACATCGAGCACAAGGAGCTGCACGGCGGACACCACTGGCAACACGACGGATATCACGTGCAGCGCGCTCACTTCGACATCTCCGAGTCGATCCCTGGATTGGGGTTGTCTTATGGTGTGGTGTAAGGGCCACTCACAGGAGCCTCGTGATTCTGTCCCTCGGCTGCACCTTCTGAGGCCAGCCGCAGATAGTAGTCTGGGCCCTTCCTTCCCCCTCCCCCCGCTCCCTCCTTTTGCCTCCCCGGCTGCTTTATTTTGTATAGTGTTTGAGGTACGCGTGCATGTGCCAGGCACTCCAACCGGGCGGGCCGCTGTTACTCAGCGAGCCTCCAGCGCCCGCCGGCTGGAGCCGCCTTAGAAGCTGACTATGATATTATTTTAGTGTCCTCTGTTTCGCCCCTTTCTTCCTCCTCCCTCCCCCCTCTTCCTTTTCTTCTCCCCTCTCCTCTCCTGCCGCTGCCGCCGCTGCCGCTCCACCACATAGTGCTATCGTGAGAGTTTGAAAGATTCGCTCCGTGTGGAGCTGCACTCGTGGGGGATTTCCGAGTGCTCTTCGGGCTGTAGGCTCGCGTGATCGTTCACGGGGCTCTTTCTCATGTAGTCATATAACTATGCAGTTTTGCCCCGTCTCCCCAGCTGCGCGCAACGGCTCGCCTATTGCAGGTTGGCCTGAGCGTTGTTCCCAGAGCTAAATCGTCATATGATAGAGCACCATCTTGGGCGGTTGCGTCTGATACACAAGGCCGCCCCGAAGCGAAGACTCGAGCACGCACGGTCCCTGTCCCCAGGGCAGGCTTGCTTGGGAAGTCTCGCGCGCTGACGCCCCAGTGCACTCCTGAGTGGGCGGTCTCGGAAACCCCTGACTCAAACGCGTCTTCATCTCTGGGGGGCGCATCTTTTATTTCCGCCGCCTTCTGCCAGCCTTTCCGCCGCCTCCCGCCGGCTTCCGCCAGCGAAGGCGGCCTCCGTTTACTGCCGCCGACCTTCCGCCGCCGTCCGCCGCGGAAGAGACGCCAACTCCCCCGATCCTCGAAGGAAAGGCCCTTCTTGGAACGCCCCAAGTAGGCTCTGCTCCGGAACCCCTACCGAAAAAAAGTACCCTCGTGCGGGGGTCCCGTGAGCATCTGGACCTCCCCCCCCAGTCAAGCCAGCGGCAGCGCGGGGACGGCAACAACCCCGACTGGGATTAACGCCCAGCGCCTGCGCCCAGATACACCTGGTACCCCCCGGCGCACCCAACGAAGCCTTTGTCCCGCAGGCAATATCCCTTACAGCACTCGTATCTGCAAAGGGGGGCATACGTATTTTGCTTCTGCCGCCTTGCGCCCCGCTCCCGCCGAGGACGAGGTGCCAACTTCCCCCCATCCCTCGAAGACGAGGCCCTCTCCGAGGCAGGCCACAGTTACGGTGAGCACGTTCTGCTCAGCGTGTCGCGGTGGCGGCCCCAGCGACACGCTGCGAGCTGATGGCATGTGGCTCCGCTTCGCGGGGTGGGAGGCTGAAAAAGGCTCGGCACGTAGACCCTTGGGGACCAGGGCGGGACAGGCGGCGCGACACACTGAGCAAGCGTTCCTGGCCGCAAGCCTTGCCGTTTGCCCCCCGCCCCCTCGCTGGCGTCGGCGGCCCCAGACCGCGCCACGATCTTGTCCTGACGTGGCCCCCGAAGGAGGTCTGGACCCCTTCCCCGGGACAGGCTGCTCATCCTGAGCAGATGTTTGACTGTGTTGGGGCCCATCGAGGGCCCACTGACTGACTGACTGGAGCCGTGCATCCCTGGCGGACGCGACGGCAAATTAAATTAGACAGGTTCAGCGGACTGCACAAGTGTGCAGGCACGGGAAGAAGGAGAAGAAGGGGGAAGGGGAGAGCGAGGAAGCGGATCACGGGAGCAAGTCGCAGAATCTTGAAAACTGAGGTCGGGGGCCCGAGGAGGCCGAAAGCCGTCAAAACCGTCCGTCGCCATCTTTTGTCACAGCCTCGCCGGCGTCGGCGGCTGCTGCACCTGCGCGCGACCACCGCTCCAGGCGCCCGCGCAGCAGCGCCGCCTCCTCCGCGGCGCGCCGCAGCCGCTGGCCCAGCCGGCCAGCGAGCGCCTCCAGCTCCCCGGGCAGCGCCGCGGCGGGGGCGCTGAGGCAGCACTCCACGGCGCGTCCCCGCCCCCGCAGCGAGACCACCACCTGCGCCACGAAGACGTCACGGCAAACCCACAGCAAACCCACGGCAAGCCCTGCGCCCGAGGCGGCGTTTTCCCTGGTGGCCGAGGCGCCCTCTCCAAGGGGTGAGGCCGCGCGTCGGAACCAACGGCGCGGCGACATAAACACAGGCACCCTCCGACGAACTGCGCATGTACCTTCAAGGGGAGCGGCGGTGTATAAGGCCGCTGGCTCCCACTGGTGACTTACACGCCGCCACCCTCCCCTGAGGCCCAGGAACAATCCATTGCAGTGTGTGTGTGTGTGTGTGTGTGTGTGTGTGTGTGCGTGCGTGCGTGCGTGCGTGCGTGCGTGCGTGCGTGCGTGCGTGCGTGCGTGCGTGCGTGCGTGCGTGCGTGCGTGCGTGCGTGCGTGCGTGCGTGCGTGCGTGCGTGCGTGCGTGCGTGCGTGCGTGCGTGCGTGCGTGCGTGCGTGCGTGCGTGCGTGCGTGCGTGCGTGCGTGCGTGCGTGCGTGCGTGTGTGTGTGTGTGTGTGTGTGTGTGTGTGTGTGTGTGTGTGTGTGCGCATTTGTGTGGCAGCCCACCTTTGAGGCGTCCATGCTCGTCACCGATGCCTTAGATGCTCGCTGTGGGGACCTTCCTGGAGCCACTCGCTCAACTCGCGCGTCGATGCTGCGTCGGACGCCCGTCGACTCGAGCCGAGCCTGGAGTCGGAGTCGAGCAGATCCGACAGGCGGGCCCCAGAAAGGCCCCCGGAGACGAGCATCCAACGATGCCTCCGCCAGGCCCTCCGCCTCCTTTCAGGGGTAACGTGAGGGGGGATCAGCTCAGGGGGGGGGGAAGGGGGGAACATCGACCTGGAGTCGGCGACGTATGGCCGATAGATTGGCGATTGGCCCCCGATGGCGAATCCGAACGCTCCTGGGCGGGGCGGCATGTCGGGCCCCTATTGGCGATGAATGCGCGATTGGGGTCGATGCGTTATCCCTGAGCCTAACCGTAGCACCCATTTAACGATCCCCCGGTTATCCGTAGCACCCAGAATAATGAGTTCATTCCCGAGGGGGGGAACCGCCGAGCGACATCGGTAGCACCACGGCAAATGTGATTAAATTAGTGCGCGGGTGGTGCTGGTGCGAGTAAGATGAGCAAGACAACTCACGAGAGGCCTCAAGACTGCCTCTTCGGAGGCAAGAGGCCCCCGTCGGCAGTCCAACTCCCTGAGGTAGCCCTGAGGCAATGTGGTAAACAAATAAAACGCAATACACACAGACATCGCAAAGCAACGCCAGGCAATACAGAGCAACGCCCAGAGATACAACACAATGCAAAGCAACGCGCAGTAGTGACAAGCAACGCAGTGCAGTGTGAATCATGGCAGCGCAATGCCAAACTATTCCAATGCGATGCACAGCAAGGCCAGGCAATTCCGAAAATTGAAAAGCAACGCGCAGCAATGCTCAGCAATGAGCTTCAGGAGGCTGCAACGCGCAGCAATGCTCACTCTGCTTCAGGCTTTCCCGGGGCGTTTGCCTGGCCACGTCCCACCTTCGGATTCGATTTGCGAGTCCAGATGAGACATGCATCGTTTGTTTTCTGTTCCCCTGAGGCGTAGACCACAGCAGGGCTTGTCGCCCCCCCCCCCCCCGCACCGCCAGCGTTATTTTGCACCCGTATTTCGATACTTGCCCGCTCTCACCCCGTAGACAAACTATAGGCTGAGCAACCGCATTAGAGGTTAACTAGCTTCTAGATGCGGTGAGTAAAGAGAATGTCTATCTTCGATTCCTAACGATAGATGCGGTGTTCCTGCGCCTCTGCGGCGTAGACCACGACAGGGAAGATCGTCCCCCCAACACCGCTGGCGTTATTCAGCATCCGTATCTCGAAATGTTCCCCCTGCCCCCGTCCCTTCTGGGCAGTAGAGAACGAGTAGTCTGAGCAACAATGGTAGTAGTGAGTTTGTATGTTAATTTGTCGTGCGCTAGTTGGTCTCATCCTCCTCCTGCTCTCCCGCGGATGCTGAGTCGAAAGCCTGCTTAGGCAAGGCGAGATCTGAAGGAAGGATCGAGGGTCGAGGATCGAGGCTCGGTCGACAATCCAAATCACTCAAACAACCCATCGACCCGCTCAGAACCCGATAATAATCCGATTGAAATATTACTGGGTTCATGTTGCAACCCTCTTGGGCTTTCATTGAAGTCCGATTGGGGCCTTGCTGGGAAGTCATCAGGACCTTTGCGGGAACTCATCCTGGGGGTCCTGGGAGCGGGACATCACCCCCCGGGGCGACAAGCGATGGGTCGCCGCGCCGTCTGTTTTCAACGCGCCCAAGTTGACAACCCCGATAGCACGGCAAACCAATGGCAAAGCCTGCGTCCCGCGCCCCACGTAGACATTGCCAGCACCACGGCAGACCCCGCGGCAAACCCACGGCGCCCGAGGCGGCGTTTGCCCTGGTGGCCGAGGCGCACTCCCCAAGACGTGAGGCCGCGCGTCGGAACCAACGGCGGGGCGACATGTAGCTTCGGCGAGAAAGGGTGGGGGGAGGGATCGTCATGTAACATGTAATTACTTCCCACGCTTGTCCCCCCCCTATCGCTGCCCCTGATCCTTGAGCAGGCCGTGAGCGACGCCCAGGTCGCGGCAGCGCACGTGGACCAGCAGCGGCGAGAGGCGCGCGCGGAGGCCGCTCCCCCCGCCCGCGGCCGCCGCCGCCCGCAGGGCCCGCAGCAGCCGCTGGTCCTCCCCTGCGCCCTCATTCTGGGCCGCTGCCTGGAGCGGTGAGGCTTCGTGCTGCTGTCCTGTGGTGAAGCCTGGAGGTCCAGGACGCCGGTGTCTCGCCGCGGGCGGCCTTCGGAGGCCCTCGCCACGCCAGTTTTGGCCTCCAGTGGCCCTCGCCGGGCCCCGGGACCGCAACGAAGTACTCGGAAGGAAAATCTGGTCTCAGGGGATAGGGGTCAAGCCTTCGGGGGACCCCGTGCTGACACAGAACGACACCGGATCTCTGAGACACGGCGTTTTCGCCCAGATTCGGGCCCCGACGCCATCACAGACCAAACCAATTCGAAAACTGCCGCCGAAAGATGGGGAGGGCTCTGGCCGTGATCATCCGCGATGTCGCAAATTTCTCGCTCGCAACTTCGGATCTCAGGTCCCCAGTAGTCCGGGCTGGCCTCAACATGACCCCGAGTTATCCAGGGTGGTGCCGCTGGTGCGCTCCCCGCCGGGCTGGGGTGTTGAGACCGCCCCTGGCTACTCGGAGGGCCTGTTGAGGCCAGCCTCGACTATCTGGGGGGAGGGCTGTCTGTGCGCGACCCAAAGCCTCACCAGCCTGCACGCGCAGCCGCTGCACACTGGGCGGCGCCGCGCCGGAGCCCTCCCATGGGAGCCCAGGATCGAATCGGCAAGTCGGATCGGCGATCGAAGTGAATCGGATGGGCGGAAATCGGCAGCCAAGTCGGGAGAAACCGAATCGGCAGAAATCGGCAGCCTAGCAAGGCCTCCAATGAGAATCTGAAATCCAAATTGGAATCCGATGTCGAATCGAAACGGAATCGGCATAGATCGAAGTCGAATAGAGTCGGAGGAGTCGAAATGAGCCCTGCCTCCTCCTCGAGCACGTGGACCTCGGGCGGCAGCGCGAAGGAAACGAAGAGGCCATCCTGGCCGTCCAGCGCGAGGCGGAGCAGGGCCAGCTCCCCGCCGTCCTGTTCCCTGCAGTGGGCCGAAGCCTCTATAGAGGATTCAAAAACTACATTAAACATGCGGTGGGGAACGTCTGCATAGCGTGCGGCGGCCGCGGCCCCGGCGACGCGCAATGCGCAAGGCCTTGCAAGCCGCCGAATCGTGGTGGTCCAGAGCCAGCGGCGGGACACGCTGAGCCATAATTTCTCACCGCAAGTGAGGGCGACCCAAGCCACCCCCACACCCAACACACCACATGTTAAATGTTCAAAGTTTCTCTCTAGTGCCTGCGGCCCGACGACCGTCGCCAGCTGCTGCGTGTGACCCAAGGAGAGGCCCCTGGCAACTTACGAAAAAACGCAACCGCAAAGGGCCGGAAAAAACATCGTGAAACCAAAGACTTACCCACAACTGTTCATTCAAACATCCTGGCACGTTGCTCAAAGCGCGCCATCGCGCAAGCGCAGCGGCGCAATCTTATAGACGCATACAGCAACACGCGGCACTATAACAGGCAAAAACTTGCTTCATGAACGCGACAAAAAATATACAACACGATTTGTAAAACCGGAAACGTCGCAATTTGTTATCGTTTCCCTGGGGGCGTGCCGACTAAGTCCACAAGCATTCCGGGAAACATGTACGAATCATTATGGTGGGTGTGGGGGTGGGGTGGGTCCTTCTCACTTGAGTGGGTGTCCAGATCTCCGCGCGGATCTCTCGGATCGGCGCTGGATCCCCTCCCTGGCGCGCCAGGAGCGCGCAAGGAGCGGCGCCGCGGAGGCGCCGCCAGGGGGGTCCAGGGTCCAGCGCCGATCCAGGAAATTCGCGCGGAACTCCGAAAAATTATGTTTATGCCGTTTGCTCTTTCTTCGAGCCTCGCCCAGGGCCCGCGCATGTCGGCGGCTTCGAAGTGTGTGGTTTGCAACGCGCACCCCTGGGGGTCGGGCGAGAGCCTCGACGGAGTTCTCCGCCGCGCCCAGAGGGGGCCAGACGAGGGCACCGTGGTTCGACTACGCGCAAGAGTGACCCTAGGCAAGAGTGACCTGTGGGGAGCGGTTTTGCGGGGCCGCGGGTAGGCCAAATCCAAGCGTGCAGGCCAATGCTGGGGGGACCCCTGTGAGCCCGCACCAAAGGTAACTCCAACGAAGGGCCACTCTTACGCGAAGCCAAGTGCCGCCCCTCAAGCCCCAACGACGCAGATCGCAAACCACACCCTGGCGTAACCACACCCTTTGTAATCGCCGAGTCGAGCCAGCGCGCCGATCCGGGAGATCCGCGCGGAGCTCCGAAAATCCATGTTGATCCGCGCAGAGCTCAGACAGTTGATGTCCATGCAAGTTTCGTCATTCTCCTCCTCCCCCTCATCCCCCTCGTCCTCCTCCTCCTCCTCCTCCTCCTCCTCCTCCTCCTCCTCCCTCCTCCTCGTCCTCCTCCTCCTTCCTCATTCCTCCTCCCTCTTCTTTGAGCCGTTGGCTCCTCTTGCCTTGTCCAGGGCCCGCGCCTTGACCTCGAGCCAGCGCGCCTCGCTCCGTTCGCCGGCGCCACATCCGAGGGCAGGCCGCTTGCCTGGCCGCACGGAGTGGCGGTCGGCGTGGCGCGCCTCTGTGGGGGCGGCCTGGCACACGCCCAGGCGCCTCTTCTGCTCGCGGTCGTACATGACCTGACAGACAAGGTGAGCGACCTGCGCAAGAAGACGTAGCGAGCTTACGCGAGCCGCCAGCGCGGCGAGCTACATTGGAAACGAGGGCACTTGCGCGCGGCCTCACGCTGGCGGCTTGCGCGCCAGTGTTAGTGAAGACGAACCCGTTTCACTCGTCGCTCAGGTGCGGTGCCCCTGGCACACGGTGCATCCAGCTTTTCGCTACATTCTGGAGCCCCTGGGGACATCTGGGCATCGTGATGGGGCGCTCTGGAGGCTGTGGGGGCCTCCTGGGAAGTCTTGGGCGCACCTTGGGCCAGAGGCACTTCCAGCAACACCCGACTGAGAGGGTGAAAGAACAGCCTACTTGGTTGTCGCGCATCAGTAGGGGGGCAGCCAAGGAACGCTTCGGGGCCAGATTAGGCACAACAGGAGCAGGAAGGACGTTGAGAGGGGGAGGAAGCCGCAGGCGGCGGAGCACGCTTGGACCATGACACTCTTGCGCGTGTGTTGCGGAGCACAGGCAAAGAACCAACAAACACTCAAACTCACAGGGAGGATGAATAGGGAAGGGCAAGGAGATGAGGGCGCTGTGTGTATTGGCGCGGGTTGTCGGACCCGGTCCATGCATCCCGCCTGAGCCTACCCCCCACCTGGCGTTGCCCCTTGGCTTTCGGGTCCTAGCTCGGCTCTCCGGCGGCCGTTCGGGACGATCTCTGGCTGTCTTTAGGGCGGGGTTTTCGAGCTCAACTGACTCACTCGGTTTTTGCATCATCGTCATCATCATCGTCATCATCGTCGTCATGATCCTCATCATCGTCCTCGTCATCGCCATCATCAGCACAATCTCCTCATCATCGTCATCATCATCATATCCATCATCATCTCCTCGTCATCGTCATCATCATGTGCTGATGATGATGATCATGATGATCACGATGATGATGGTGATGATGGACGGGGGAAGACGGGGGAAGGCAGAGGCAGGCGGGGGAGGACGGGGGAAGGCAGATAGCAAGGGCCTCCTCCTTGTCAGCCTACTCCTCCTCCTCCCTCCTCTCTCCTCCACCTCCCTCACCTCCTCCTGCTCCTTGTCCATTTTCTCCTCCTCCTTCCTCCTCCTCCTCCTCGCGGCGAAGACAGCGACGACGACGACGACGACGACGACGACGACGACGGCGCTGTTAAGCTCCCCCCCCACGGGCCCTCAGCACGCCGAACATCGATTTTGAAGGCGTTTCGCCACCAGGCCCCTTCGGGGCTCCGGCGGGGTCAGAGCTCAAATCGAGCTCTAGCATGCTATGTTAGAGCTCCCTAGGAGCTCTAACATAGCATGTTAGAGCCCCCTGGGAGCTCTAATATGCCATGTTAGAGCTCCCTGGGAACTCGAACATGGCACTTTAGACCTCCCAGGGAGCTCTAACATGCTATGTTAGAGCTCAAGACGAAATCTAACATGTGATGTTAGAGCTCACGACGAGCTCGAAAAAGAGTTCAAGTCGAGATCTAAGATTGCATGCCAGGCCTCGAATCTCATATGTTAGAGCTAGCATCGACATCGATCATGGAATGAGCTAACATCCCCAAGGGGACATAGCATGTTAGAGCTCAAATCGAGCTCTAACATGCTATGCTGGAGTTCGAATCGAACTCTAACATCCTCTTTTAGTGCTCCCTGGCAGCTGTGACATGCCATGTTAGAACCGCCCTGGGAGCTCTAACATGCTATGTTAGAGCTCCCATCGAGCTCTAACAGAGGATGTTACAGCTCAGAACGGAATCTAACATGTGATGTTAGAGCTCCAATCGAGATCGAGCATAGCATGTTGGATCTCAACTCCTGGTATACCTCAAGTCGAGCTCTAACATGATATGTTAGAGCTCGACGGGAGCTCTAACATGCCATGTTAGAGCTCGAGCTGAGCTCTAAGATGCTATGTGAAAGCTCGATATGAGCTCGAACATGCTATGTTCGAGCTCCCAGGGAGCTCTGACTAAGCATGTGAGATCTTACATTGAGATCCCATCTCACAAGCGATGTCACCATCGATCTCACTCTATCGATCTCACCGTCTATCTCCCTATCGATCGCACTATCGATCTCACCGTCGGCACCGGCAGCAGCAGCACCACCACCACCAACATAAACAACGGCACCAGCAGCAGCACCAGCAGCAGCACCAACAGCACGAGAACCAACAACACCACCAGCAGCACCAGCAGCAGCAGCACCACCACCACCACCAGTACCCTCCCCCTCCCACCTCCCTCTCTCTCCCCCGCCGCCGCCGCCGCCGCCGCCGCCGCCGCCGCCGCCGCCGCCGCCGCCGTCGTCGTCGTCGTCGTCGTCGTCGTCGTCGTCGTCGTCGTCGTCGTCGTCGTCGTCGTCGTCATCGTCGTCGTCGTCGTCGTCGTCGTCGTCGTCGTCGTCGTCGTCGTCGTCGTCTCTGCCGTCGTCGTCGTATTCGCCGTCGCCGTCGTCGTCGTCTCTGTCGTCGCTGTCCTCGCCGCGAGGAGGAGCAGGAGGAAGGAGGAGGAGGAGAAAATGGACAAGGAGCAAGAGGAGGTGAGGGAGGGGGAGGCGAGGGGAGGGAGGAGGAGGAGCAGGCTGACGAGGAAGAGGAATAAGAGGAGAAGGAGGAGAAGGAGGAGGAGGAGGAGGGACAAGAAACATGATTACCATAAGAGCCTCCTCGGATGTCTCTTGGACGTTGTTTAAAGGCTTCTTGGAGCGTCTGGGGGGCATCTTGGGCGCCTCGGGGATCCTCTTGAAACCTCCATGGGGCCTCTTGGAGGAGATCGATCAAAGAAGGGGGATTCCTCAAATCGCCCTGCCCCTCGGGAGCCCCAAAATAGCCCCCTGGACCCCTCTTGGGGCGCTCTTGGAGCGCGCGTGGGCGCTCTTGGGGCCGTCTTGGGGCTCTCTTGGGCCCCTCTTGGGGCCCTCTTGGGCCATCTTGGAGCCATCTTGAGGCCTCGGACGGCCATCGGAAGCGAGAAGGCGAGAAGGCACAAACCATGTATTTTCTTTCGGTTTTTGAGGGATGTTGGCCCCTTGGGGGCCTCCTTGGAGGTCTCGGAGGCCTCCTGGAGCCGTCTTGGAGCGTTCTTGGGGCCTCTTGGAGAATCTTCGGAACCATCTTGAGGCATCTTCGGCTATCTTGAGGCATCTCCGAGGTCATCTTGGGCTCTCCGAGGCGCTCTTGGAGCCGTCTTGGGCCATCTTGGACGCTCTAACTACCCGCGGGGCGCCCCGTCCAGGTCCAGGGGAGGGGGTAGGGGGAGGGGTAAACCACTCCCCGAAGGGGAAGAAGGGGGTTGGAAGAGGAAACGCTCTAAACCACCTACGCCCTGAGGGCTGGTGGGATTCGATTCGACTTCGAACCGCCCTGATTCGAACTCGATTCGAGGGATGCAACAGCGCGGTACCGAGGGCTGCCACGGCACGGTGCCGCATGGTGTTGATGATGATGGTGACGACGACGACGACGACGACGACGACGGCGGCGACGACGAGGGCGAAAGACGGAATTCACCCTCCTCTTCCGTCTCCTTCCCTCTTTCTCCCTGACCTCCACATCCTTCTCGTCTGCCTTCGCCTCCGCCTCCTCCTCCTCCTCCTCCACCTCATCCTCCTGATATTATGCCTCTTCCTCCTACTCTTCCTCATCCTCCCCCTCCCCCTCCCCCCCATCGTGGTCGTCGTCGTCGTCGTCGTCGTCGTCGTCGCCACGCCGCCGGGCGTCCCTCAGCAGGGCGGGCCAGGCGCTTCGCCTGAGACCCCCCACCCCTTGTGACCTTAAAGCTCGGACCGTCCTACAGCGTCGTCGTCGTCGTCGTCGCCGTCGCCGTCGCCGCCGCCGCCGCCGCCGTCGTCGTCGTCGTCATCGTCGTCGTCGTGGACGGAGGGGGTCGTCGTCGTCGTCGTCGCCGTGAACGGAGGGGGTCGTTTTCAAAGTTCGGCTCTCGCCCGTGCACCGCACAAATGTCGTGAAAGCCTTCCACAGTTGGCGGCGGCGGCGACGACGACGGCGACGACGACGACGGCGGCGACGACGACGATGACGACGACGACGACGGCGGCGGCCGCGGCGGTTTGAGATCTAATATGGTATGTTAGATCTCGATGTGAGATCCAACATGCTATGTTAGATTTCGACTTGAGCTCTAACATCCTGTGTTCCGTGGGAGCTCTAACATAGCATGTTAGAGCACGCCCCTCAGCCTTTGATGCAGGCCATGCTGCTCTAATGGGAACTCAGACCCGGCTGATCCTCCTCCCTCGCGTCCCCTTTCCCGCATGCTATGTTAGAACTCCCAGGGAGCTCAAATGAGCTCTAACGTGCTGTGTTACAGCTCCGTGGGAGCTGTAACATGAGATGTTACAGCTCCCTGGGAGCTCTAACATAGGACGTTAGAGCTCCCAGTGCGGGCTCCCACACGCCACCAGGAGCTCGAACATCTCATGTTCGAGCTCCCTGGAACTCTAACAGGCTATGCTCGAGCTCCCAGGGAGCTCTCACAGACGATGTTAGAGCTCCCAGGAGATATAACATGCCATATTAGAGCTCCCATGGAGCTCTAACATGGTATGTTACAGCTCCCTGGGAGCTCTGATATCGTATGTTAGAGCTGCCAGGGAGCTGTAACATGCGCTGTTAGAGCTCCCGACGAACTCTAACATAGCATGTTGGATCCCCCAGGGACCTCTAACATGGCACGCTAGAGCTCCACGTGAGCTCTAAAGGAGATCCGACTCCGCCGGCCCCCAGGGGGCCTGGGGGCGACACCCCTTCAATTTTTTCTTTAGCGGGGAAGACCTCCTGGGGAGGCGGGGAGGGGGCGGGGGGGCCTCAGCAGCTTCCACATCGATTTTGAACCTGTTAAGCACCCCCCCGCCAGGGGGGGCTTCACAACTCCAAAATCGATTTTGGAGTTGTTCAGCCGGGGGGGGGACTTACCAGGCCAAAGGGGGGAGGCTGAACAAGTCGAACATCGATTTTGAACCTGTTAAGCCCCCC